CCCCCCCCCCCCCCCCCCCCCCCCCCCCCCATATACACACACACACACACACACACACACTCAGTTATTTGTATAGCAAAGCCTAGTTTTGGGCCTGGATCCTGCGTATGCAGCACGATTCTGCATTAGCAGCGAGATTTTTTTTCTGCAGTGACATTTGACTGGGTCAATCACTCGGAGTCAAAAGCACAGAAGTATCCAAAAAATGAGGCCTTCCTTACAGCGGAGACAAAACTTACAGGTGGAAGCCAAGTAACTAGGTGTTTACTCACAGCTTAGGTGAGTGATGAGTTCCTTCATGCTGTGCCTTCCACAACCCCAATCACTGTCCACTTCAGCAAGCGCATCCTGCCCCTATAAAGGGCTCTGAGCTCTTTCCCGGTGACAGCAGCAGACACGCACGTATATTCAGCTTGGATACCCAAGGAAATACATCACAGTGTTACTGTCTCTGCCTGGCCACACCAGGAGCTGAGCCCCGTGGCTGATTTCAATCAACATTAGAGAAGGCAAGCTTTTCAAGCCATCAGTCTCCCATAGTTTTCACAAAAATGGGCACTTGGTAGCGGAGAGAAAAAGCAAACAACCCACGAAGTACCTGGGCTAAACCATACCACGAGTCCACTTCTTATTAGACACCAAAAATCTATACATGATTTCCAAAAGCTTCACTGCAGATTTGGGCTTTATTTAGCCACCAACCTCAGCCAGCCACAAGATAAAATATACCTATAGAGCTGTCTGTGATTTGTAAGTATATTTTAAAGTATAAAGATTTTATGTGTGTGTATATATATATTAAAAAAAAAGGTAATTTAAAGTCTATTTTAAAACATTAGAATCTGTTACGCCCCCCGAAATCTGCAGGCAGCCCAGCCATAACCTAAAGCTTCTAACGACCTGACAAGAGCCGCACGTTCCCGCAGCCCTCTTCCTCGTGTGGCTGGCTTCCAGGGGGCATGAGAATCACGTCCCCTACTCGAGGGATGGCAGATTTCCAAAGCCTTTCCAGATGTTTATCTTGGCAACCTCAAATTCAAATATTAACAGGTCCAATTAGCAGCCTGGCCACATCTGGATCTTGCAGATGGTTACTGGGTACAGGTGAGGAGACCAAACAGGAGCAGGTCCTGCAAGTCATTCCATCATAAGATCATTCCACCCCTGTCCTACACACGCGATGCTGGCTGGCAGTCCCCACCTTGGCTTCGGATGCAGCTTTCTACGCGTTCCCGTACCATCAGGGAAGCTCATGTGTTGAATGAACGGCTCGGACCAGGCAAGACGTGATGGCCCAACGCAAGGAGCAGCTGCTGGGCACCGTGGCGCACCCTCATGAGCTGGGTCTGGCCAGGCCCCAAGGGGCTCTGCTCAGCGCTGCCCAGGGTGGCTTTGGCAGGGCACATCTTCACGGATCAGGGCTAAACTGCCAACCTCGGGTGGCACCAGGCATCACGCAGACGGTGCATTCCTGGTACGGGACAACACCCCGGGGAGCGCTACGCTGACGGAAGCGATATCTTATATATCCTTACAGGAGAAAATCTTCACTCATCTTTCCCCCTCTTCTGTCCCAAGTTTTCAGTCCAAAATCTAATCAAATTCAAACTCCTACATCAAGTTTTGCCTCTCGAAATTCTCTACAACATTAACTCGAAATCCAGTAGCCCTGCACCCTTAGAAGAAGATGCATTTTAGGAAGCAGCGAGGAAGCGGCGTGCAAATTGATAGGAGACCTTGCGATCTCCGTAATGAAAGTCCTAACGGCAGCCGTTGCCGACAGTTATCTGATCGCTGGTCGTTACTCATCAGAGCACACCTTACACGTAACCTACACGTCTTATGGCCACACGTGAAGTTTCTGCAACGCACGAGTGCACACGTATGCGTTAGCCTGAACTCTCGCTGCCGCCATGCAACCTGCACAGCTCAGCGTTTAACTGTTCCACAGCCATGGGGGCAGAGGGGGGAGAAGCTTTAAGGAGCTGAAGGGATGAATCAGTTCGTGTCTGTACCTACAACCTCAAAGGGCACAAACAAAATCAGCCAACTTCAAGACCATATTCCCAGGTTTAAAGTTAGCCATGTACCTAGGCAACTCATCGAGAAATATGTATGTAAAAGCATAACCCTGACAGCCAGTCTTGAATTAGTCTATTTTTCTAATGTCTATAAATCCGGTGCTTTTCATTCTGAAGATTTATACCATTACCATTATTTTTCTTGACAAACTAACTCCGTTGCATGTCCTAGATAAATATAGATGCAATTCTGATCCATATTTTGAAGGGTATCTTTCAAATCACCCTCTCTATTTAGCTATCCTAAATATGGCAGCCTGGAACATTACAGTACTGAAAAGCTACAGAACTACTTGCACAGAGATTCTTGCAATGTTTCTAACCCCAAAATTGCCACTAATGCAAGAACACAATTAGACTGAGCATTTACAGAGCACAACAAATATCAGACTAGGCGGTGCATTTGTGTACTAGTGGGGATTGAGAGCTTCCCACTAATCGAAGGGATTTATTTTAGGGAAAGGCATGTGACTACATATTCTAAACAGCTTAGATGAACTCAACCAAAACGGTTCAGCAAAGCAGATGTCCAGGCAGCCCGTCAGAGGCACGCAAGCAGTGGTTAATGCATAGGCAAAGCGTGCTACGATGCCGTGGGCGGCTTATATCCAATGTGAAAAACATTCACAACTCGCTGCCCAGTGAGCGAGTGAACGTCTCGCTGCGGTCGCGCACCAGCGAGGAATTTCTAGCTTGGTTCGGCAATGAACTGCAATAACCAGTCCCTGGGGAACCGGGAGTCACAGACTACACAAACCCAAGTTGTTCGGTGTTAACTATTGATACAGACGCTCGAGAGCAGCTCCTGAGGGAGGGATGGCGGGGGCAATGCTCCTGCTGCTCCTCCCTCGTGTCCACAGATGCTGCGCCCGACTGAAAATCAGAGCGCACACACACGTTTCCGAGGCGGTTGCGCCCCAAGCACTGCTTCTTGACTGAAGCACCCCAATGGCTCATTGTAGACCACTGTGCCTGTCTGGATCTCACTAGTGGGGACAGGATCGGGTCACCCCTTCAGCGGGGACAACACGCAGCTTCTGCCATCGCGGGCTGGGTATCACACTGTTCATCACCCTCCCAGCCCCTCCGGAGTCACCCTTACCTCCGTCAGCATATGTCTCGGTGCCATAGCCATCCTGCAGGCCATTATTCCAGGTACCTTCGTACTTGGCTCCGCTGCTCGTGCTCTGCCTCGTGCCGTACCGTCCCTTAAAGCCATGGGTCCACTCGCCTCTGTAAACCCACCGTCCTTTGGTCTCGATTCCTAGGCCGTGCCTCTTGCCTTGGGACCAGTAGCCTTCGTAGGTGTTGCCACTGGGCCATGTGTATATGCCCACCACTTCGAAGCCGTAGTTCCAGGAGCCCGAGTACTCGCCCTGGCCCTTGGGGCCGGTGCAGATGCCATGCCCGTGGGCTTTGCCCCCTTCCCAGCCCCCGCAATAGGCACCTCCATCATACAAATCAAACCTGCCGCCGCTCATGGTACCCTCCGGTGCCCCCTCAGCCGGGCAGCTCTCCCAGGGGCAGAGCTCCGGGGCGGC